TGGACTTGTCTAGAGCGCTGGCGAGTCGTAGGACTTGGTGGTGCAAGGTAGTGCGTATGTGATGTAGCCGGAGGCGTTGGTGGTAAACAGTTTGTTGATGTTCCAGAGCTGTTTTCATGGTAGGCAGTAAGGCTTGTAGCTGTTGTATTCGACCTTGTAGACGAGGATCCTGATTGAAGTTGTCTGACTCGGCGAGCTGCAATTGCTTGATGGTGTCATTGAATCGATTGTCAGTCTATTGATCTGAATGTTGGTGTCCTGCAGCTGCGAAATAATTTGTGCGTCCAATGCAATAATAGGGTCCATCTCCATCAGTCAATGCAAAAATCTGTACACGGAGACGGTAATTGATCGAAAGCACAGCTGCGATAAACATGAAGTGTTGAAGAGAAAAAGCTGTCGAAATCACATGATAATCAAAGTATAGTGGATGAGAGCTTTGCGTGCATATGCAACAAACTAAGCCAGTGAATTCCATAAGTCTGTACAAGCGCATCACTGCAGTACCCGAGACAGTTGATTGGTTGTGGGATTGCTCATTTGTTAGATTGGAAAGTCTGCAAGTGTGTAGTAATCTCAAGTGTGAGACTGTGGGAGTCAAATGTTGGTAAGTGGAAAGCTGCATCATTGCTTTTTGCTGCAAATGTGGAAGAGATGTGCGTTGAAGCTCGCTCGGTTGGAGTCTGTTGCTCACAACTGTAAAGATGAATCAACATTGGTGAACCGCAAAGTGAAATAAATGTGAAAATAAGTACATAGGGCATCAGAGGAGCTGAATGTGGTTCATCAGGAAGAAGTCCAAAAACATAGTGCAAAGCATAGTCCAAATATGGTCGGGCCAGTGTTTGATCGCATAGAGTATCTGGCAGTCTTGGTCTCATGAGGTATCATGGAAGTCTGCTGCATTGCCTGTCCCTGTGCGTTCGTTGAGTGGTGCTATGTCTTGTGATGTCATCGTGCTAGCGTCTCTAGTAGCTGGTGGTTCAATCAATGCGGCGGCAGGGGACTTTGTGTCAGTGTTGTCTAGTGGTTGTGGTGTATAAAGTAGCTGTAGAGTTTTCCAACGTGTTTTGCAATCAAAAGGTGTTTTGTTGAGCGTCTTGGCGATCTGCTTCCAACTGGGACGAGCTCGTTTGTTGAGCTTGAGTGATGCTAGTTTCTCGTCATCACTGGGTTCCCAGCCTCCATTGTCAGGATATGGAGGGGATGGCGTTGGAGCCGGAATGGTCTGTCGTGGTGAAGGTGGAGGTGGTGGTGGTGGTGTAGTGGAAGAGCTGTGTAGAGAAAAGGTGGCTGCAGGTAGGGGAAGAAGACGTTTGCTTGGGTCTGGAGGAGGTGTTGGCGGCGAATGTGTTGTTGGTGGGTGTCGTGTTGGTGACTGCTGGTGTGGGGAAGTCGGTGTGTAAGAAGGTGAGGGCGAAGGTTCTGGTTTGCATCGCGTGTGAAGTTTGCCGGCGGTTGGTGGTGGACTGCGGCTGCGACGCGGAGTTGTGATGGGAGGTGGTGGTGGGGGTCTGTTGTGGGATTGTTGTGGTGCGAAAAGGGTAGGATTGGGCAGTATGTCTGATGGATGTGGTGTGAAAGACGGGAGGTTTTGGAATGTAGTAGCAATGGATGTGGCTGCTTGTAAGTGTGCTAGTAGCAGTCTATGTGCTAGAGCCATGTCGAAAGGTGACGTCATTGTCCCGAATCTTGTGGTAGGGCTTGATCAGGGTGAAGTATGGCCACGTGCTGTTCAGGGACCGGGCAACTCGCAGAAATCACACAGTTTGAATATTGTAGAGATGGCTGCGGACAAAGTCAAAAAATGAGATTGGAGCTGTGAAAGCAGTGTTGTTGGTAACATGCAAAATCTTATAGCAGTGGAAAAAGCACGGTGCGAGGAAATACTGCAGTCGACCAATGCGTGTAGAAGAATAAAATACGTGTAGAGGAACAAAATGGCATCATTCGTTCGAAAAATCTGAACCCAATGGCGAGGTGATCAATTGTTAAATAGATACTGAAGATCAAGAATTGAAAGCGAGTGATCAAAAAGCAGTGATTTTGAGGTCTGGCGTCAACCACAATGCAAGGGTGAAAAATGAGCTTATACAGCAAGAAGGGTCCGTCACACTTTGGTGAGGTGCTTGATCCGTGACCTCTCAGCTTAAATGAAGCTCAATGGAGGTTTTGCATCACTTTTCCAAGCGATTCCTTCTATGCGTGGGTGTTTCGGATGTACAACCCAACATTTTCCAGGGGTGTACTTGACTATTCCCTCGCCGCAAGGAGAAGGTCATTGGCGGCGGATTCGCCGCCTGAGGTCACTTTCTGTCCGTGGCCATAGGCCTTAATGGTAAGAATAAGGCCGCTCTTGTTCTTTGACATGTTTGAAGCATTATAGAGTACTCGTGCTGCCTCGGTAGCATCGTGTTCCTCGTAGTTGCTAAGCTCAGAGGCCTGGCTAAAAAATCCAACGTTATGCTGGTCGTGTACCACAGAACGCACGATCTCGCCTGCTTCGAGTATGGAAATAATGTTCCCCTCTTCACTTACATGCGCCGCGAAAATGTGTTTTATTGGGGTAATATTCAAAGCTTCTCTTCGTGTGGGTGGGAGTGTCGGTGCGTCCCCTCTGCTCGCGAGTGTTGGTATGGTGAGTAATAGGAAAGTGTGATGATCGTTGCTATTGGTGTCTTCGTTCCACTTTGTGTGGGTGAGAAGTTGCATGTCTGTAAAGTGGGTGGTGTTGATGTGAGCTGCTGTAAGCACTTTGGCCACGTACGAGATCATGGGTTCATTGTGAATGTCAAGCGAACGTGCATGATTGTTGATCCATTGGAAAACTTCCAAATGCGCTGGATCTGTGGGCGGTTGAAATTTTGGTAGCTGAAGGTTGTGTGGTCGTCTCTGGACTGGAACTACGTGGTTGGTGGTGTGGGTGCTGTGGGTGTTGTGGTGGCGGTCTGCTTGGGGGTGAAGAGTGGATTGGGTTTGAGTGTGATGGGATGAGAGCGGGGAGTTGGTTCTGTAGTTAGTTTTGTGGTGGTGGCAACAGTTATACTTTTGGTGGCTGGTTGGGATTTGTCAAGAGCCACTGCCAATGGCTGCGATGCACGGCTTTCATCAGGTGTGGAATGTGGTGTACTGGAAATGGATTGTGTAGCTGAGCGTCGTCGGCGTGGCAGTGGGGATCGAGTGCGTGTCCTGGATCTGGATGTAGCTTGGGAAGCTGCGCTGGTTGGAACAGCAGGAAAGGCTGAATAGCGGTGGTGTTCCTGTGTGCGTGGAGGTGAGCGATCTGGGTCACGCCAAATGCCTCGCGTGGTGCAGAGGGTGGGTGCAATGGAGGGTGTTGGTCTGGCTGAACGTGGCACAGAAAGTGATGGCGCAGGATTGGCGGGCTGTGTAATGGGTGTTGAGGTGGAAGGTGAAGTGGTTTTGTCTGTGGAAGTGGCTTGAATGGAATACTGAAGTGTAGTTGCTGGTTGAGCAGGTTGTGGAGCAGCGGCAGCTGTTGGTGTATTGTCAGGTACTGTAGGGGTTGCCGTGTGTGTGGGATCCGCTGAGGCAAGCGGTGTTGGTGGTGGAATTGGCTGTGGTGTGGATTGGGACGCTTGTGGTTGTGGTTGTGGTGGCATGTGTTGAGTTGAAGCGGAAACGGCAATGTGCTGCGGGGCTGTGGGGACAGGTTGTGTGGATAATGTGACAGGTGTGGTTGAAATTGTGGCGCCGGTTGTATGTAATGTGTTTGCGGTGGAAATGTCGTGGGATGTGGGTAGATATGAGGTGTTGGATGATGTGGTGGAAATGGTGGAAGTGTTGGATATGGTTGTGGTGGAGCTTGTGGTGGATAAGGATACCAGTGTGGTTGTGTGGGCTGTGGTGGCGTGGTGTGGTAACGAATACGGCCAGGGATACGTCATGGCTGCTCGGCAAATCGAATAAGGTCGATGTATGTATGTAGATATGTAAAGTGAAGCAGTCCTGGAACTTGAACTTGAAAATATAATACAATATGGATTGCTACAAAGTGGAGGAGTGTGGAACTGGTTCTAATTAAAATCTCTGAAAAATTGAAAACTTGAAAGCTTGAAGAAACAAATGAACATGAGAAGGGGTGAAACTGAGGCAGTCGAACTCTGCAGTATGGTTTCAGTAAAGGTTTCAGTGGACTCTGCAGTAAAGCTTCACGTGTGCCAGGTGAGACTATCCAAGCAAGCTGATTTCGAGCAGGAAAAATTCAGTCGAATAAACTTCAGAAAAACTTCAGGAAACTTACTCCCACGGTGAGGAGTGAAAAGGTTCTTGCAGTAACGGCGCCCCGTAGGGATCACACAGCTTACCACAGTGGGAAGAAGCTGCGGAAACACACTTGAGAAGGTTGCTCCGTAGAGCGCGATTTCAGGCTTCTTCGCGGAGTGCATTAGCCCTTTAGAATGACTGCAAATTAGACCTTGACTGAAAAGAAGTGCTGAGTCAGTTGACCAGAATGTTGGAACAAGTCGTGGAAAGTGAAGTGATTCAAACAATTGGAAAATGGCAGGTACGTCGATTTGGCGTCCCAAATCGATATCACCAGCACACATCCAGTGTCTTCGTTGGTGCAAGACTGGATGGGCTGCTTGCACCCCCTGCGAGTGTTCTGTACAAATGGTTGAGGAGAATAGTAGGAATAGCTAGAGTAAGGCCCTTGGAAACAGGGGTGGACACACACACACACACACACCCTCAAGCACCTTCGCTCTCCCGTAATCAAATTATGTCGCAGGGCTGGTGCAAGCCTGCTCTACAAAGAACGCCTGCAAACAGCTTCCAATCACGAAGGGTTATATAGTTGGTCGAAACTTCTTGTTACAAGTTACAACTGCTCTTCACTTTACAAAACTCTCATTAGGAAAATGTTTATCAAAGAAGCTCGCATATTTTGACAAAAAAGGTGCACTATGGCACACTTGAAGAAGCTTGCTGCACGAAAACGAGTTGCTCCCACGCCCTGGGCTTTCAAGTCGAGGCACATAGGCTGGGGAGAGGCAACGCTCCCGCAGCCAAAAGGGGTCCAAATCAAACTTTTGCCCAGCCTGGTGCGTCGATACCCACACGGCAACATACGATTCTCAACACTTTTAGGGGCTGGACATACCTGGACAAATCGGTCAGTGCCATCTACTAGCCTACTATCTAGGAGCAATTTATATATTGTTAGTGTCGGGTGCCAAAGCCAGCAATGCCCAGCATTCTGAGCCCACTCAGCCTGCCCAAACACTTCATCCCAACTGCAGCCACGTGTCCGGCAAGCTTAACTTCAATGAGCTCTTAGTTGCGAGTTCAACCTGAAAGCACTAACAGCCACCCAGTCCTGGCAGTTATATATACCAAGTATTGAATTACGGTGGAAAATGTAAGTGGAAGAAAGGATTCAGAATAGCCATGGTTCAACCTATTCGTGTTGCTCGCCGAGGCTGGGAACAAAATTGCTTGCAAGCAAAGATGCTGCCGGAAATGCACTCGACCTTGGAACAAAATCTGGAGTCCGGAAAAAGATCAAACAGTCAATCATCGATTCTTGACGTGATTGCCACGGGGCAGGCTTTTAAAACAACCATACCAACTCAACACGCATTCCAATCATTTACATACAGTTCCGCAACAGAGAGTGGACTTTAGAATGGATGTCGTCTTGAAAGAGTGCGATGCTCAACTTCTCAATTTCTGGGTCATTGAACTCATTTAGCAAGCTGCACTCTTGTGCCCGAGGTGTTGTAGCCCTAATGGCCTTACCAGCCAACATCTTCCAAAATAAGCGTTCGAAGCAGCTTTTTCTCTGACAACCCAGGTGCATGGTTGGGGTATTGTGGCACCGATGCTGATGCCTATTCTCGCATCTCAAATGTGGTCGAATGCCAACTCTTGTTCGTCGTCCGTTCCCGCATGATGAAGGTTGGTCCTTTAAACTTTACTCTCTTACCCTGAGGTGCCAACTTCACTGCCAAGAGGGTGCACAGGGAATGGAACATCATCCTGTTGAGGGTATCGTTCAATGGCAACTATGTTCATCCACAGACAAGGATCATGCTGATCAAGGTTCATGGCTGCAAATTTGGATATCAGTAAGTCAGCAATGACTCTAATTTCATCTGCGATTGCAAAATATTATATAAATAATCCAAAAGAGTTGTTTGCCTTCATTAAAACCCTTATTGCCAAACGCTCTTGCCAACCTACTCCTCCGACAGATAGGCACTCTGAGCACCAGCACCGGCCTAGGAACACATGAGCAGTTGTTTGACGGTTGATGAAGAAGTCCCATCAACTGCAGCGACTCAGCTGTAAACTCAGATTTCCTAGAAGAAAGCCAACAGGACCCTTTCAAAATATGCATGACCTGAACAGTGGCAAGTAGGAAGTTGTCGCAGCCTTAGACCCAACAATCCCTTGGAAAGAGTTCCACAGGTTCGAATGCATTACGGGTCATATCACAACGTTGGCGGCAAACATGCATTCAACCCAGCCGAGGACCGAGGGAGAATAGAACCATTCAAGAGGACCCTTGGGCGAACTACAGTATGTCACTGAGTCATATCTGTACGGCACGTATGAGAGGCGCCTTTCTATCTAGCACTTGCAAGTGTGTAGATAAGGAGTTGCCAACACTTTGTCTCTTGGTTTCTTTAATGATGCCATTGGATATGTTGGTCTATCTCTGGGTGGCGCTGCTGGTGCAGCAAACAAATCTCTTGAACAACCCATTGAGTTGTATGGCCATACGTTGCTTAGGGGGCGGCACTGGCCATTCCAGCTACCGCATGACTCAGTCTCCAGACGCAAAATGTCATGCCAGTCTCACTGGCTGGTGGCTGGAGTTTTGAGCATAACATGTCGCGATGACAGCTGGCACAATCAAAACCTTACTTGGACTGACATCATTCACACGGCAAAGCACGGCCACAACCACCAAACTATATAGTTCTGGGTTGTTCGCAACGCGGTGCCTACATTCTATCAAGTGCCACCACCGTTCAATCTGGACCGGCCACGGGGACCTTGCTGTTGAATCTGAGCATGACATCATCACCACTGCCACCGCCACCCCCACCACGCAACCACCACCACCTGCACCATCACCACCACCAACCACCACCAACGGAATGAGAAGTAGCAAAAGGCAAATATATATATATATATAATGTGTATATATATATACAGTATATGTGTGTGACATGAACTGATCGAAACTGCCCTGGAGAATTACAGGCGGCTCCATTCCACCAGCACCCCTCAGCGCTACTTGGCAAACGCCAATGGTCAGCCCAGCACTCAAGCGTGCTGCAAGAAGGCATGGTTATCCAGAAATGTCAACGTTTGAGAGGTCAGAAAACCTGCAAGTTTCGTGAGCGGAGCAAGATTGATAGTGCCCTAACAGCGAATATTCCCAACCAGCATCTGAACTGACAACCCAATCAAAGAAAATTTGGACATGCAACGGCCTTCTCTATACAACAAACAAAGCCCTTCAACTGTTAAGCAAGCTTGCAAAATGAACGCACGTCTCAATGGCTTCGGCTTCAACCCTCAGAAGGTCACTCCGGAAGTTAAACCTCAACCTGAAACAAACACGAACAAACCTGACCCCAGAAGGAGACATGGCAAAATCAGCAGCATGAAACCTCTTGCATTTGGGGAGCCCCGTTCCTGGCATGTTTGCCCCAAGTTTCGTGCAGTTGGTCCATCACCAGGTGAGGCATTGGTCCACTCGTCCTGCTCGCATACTTTAGCAGTGGTGCATAACGTAAACACGATTGTATCCAAAAACATGTCGAGGAGAGGGGGCGAGAAACATCACGCCGCACTCTTTTTCAGTGTCTTTGAGCCAAGCGATGTTTATATTCAAGGTTGGTCGGCCAAGGTGCTATTGCGACCTTCCAAAAGGATGCCGGGATGCGTGCATGCTTGTTACATTCAAAAGCAACGTTACAGTAAATGTTTCCAACCCCTTGCACCAACTGTAATTGCTCTGAACCTGGACTTTTGTAAGAGACATTTTTCTACACATGCTCGCAAAGGATTGTCCTGTCCAAATCGATATACAACGAGGTGACTTCGAGATGTCTGGGAGCTCACATGTGGAGCGTTGCTCCTACAAAATGATGCCCCGCAAACGTTGATTGACCCTTCCTCGGCACAAGTGAAATTGCTTACGTGGCTCCAACAAAGTCGAAAAATACAGAACTGCAGGAAGGTTGACAGGCAATTGAAAATCATCTCATCAGTCTGATTTACGGGCTTTCCCGAAGAACTGCGGCGGCCATTGGTTGAGCCATGGAAACCATTGAGCCACTAATGGCATCAGCGACCCTGCCATTGGCTGCCATACGTGCCCTCTCTATTGCAGGTTCCTCCTGCAAAACCACTACGCTGTGCTGGCTGTACCGACAAGGGCATGCAAAGTCGATTGCGCAGCCCTATGGAAAACGATCTCTGTGCAAGAGATCTCTGACATCAAAGCTTTGGCCAGGGACTCGGATCAAGGTCTTGAAGCCTAACAGGTCCAACGACACCCAATCCAAGTAGTCATACCGGGAACCCGGCACTGCCTTGTTCTACCTTTTGATGTCACGCCCAACTCTCGATTGGACGCCTCCCACATTCCATGCGGGGCCCGGAAGCCGACACCAACAAGGCTTCGGCACTCCAAATTAGCCAAACGAATTCTCGGAAGATCTCCAGAGAGGCTCTCATCGTGACGAAGGGCACTAGGATTTCATCCTTCACGCCAAGCCTTACCAAGGCCAAAATTGGGTTGGGGATCCTTCTTGCAGCAGTGACGGCAGCCATCCGGTCTTGGCGCTAAGGATTCAATGGGCTCTGCTCCCTGAGCCACAAGGAAATACTTGGAGAAGCAGGGGCAAGCGTTTCCACTGAGAAAGCACAGGAGACTGATCGACTCGATGAAGAAACTTCAAGGTACCCTGAGAATGCCTCATGCCAAAGCAGTTAACCAACTAGCGCATGCACACACACACATCTATCTATATAAATAGATAAGTAAATATATATATATACAGTATATAGTATTTACATCTATATGCATGTATATCACGTACGCGCTTATACGCACATCCTTCCATTCCAAGCTGTGCCCCATTCCAAGCTGTGCCATGAACAAGCTCAACACCGCGAGACTATGACAAAGGAGAAACACTTCAACCGTGGGGCACCAATGAAGCCATTGAGGCAGTAAGGCTAGGCTTGCTACTCTACGCATTTCTAAGCTTGGGAAACAATTTAAGCAATGTGTTTGTTGAAGAATCAGAATCAACACTTCTGGATTCAGAACGCTCGACCACTATCCCAATGGCCATTCACGAATGGAGGACGCTTAGGTAGGCAATGTGGTTCTGTGCGAAGACTCCTGGGATACCTCTTCACTCTTCATTGATCAAATGGACCTGTGACACTGTGGGTAACACCGCCAAAAAACAAAATGCGTGTGATATGAAGAGGCTTTACTCCCAGGTGTGTCTGCTCACAAATTCCTGCCAGCACACCTGGCTGCATGCCCTGTAATCCAGGTAAGGCCAGGCCGTTGGTCCATGGTTATGCACGAAGTTGATTAATTTTTGCGAATGAGCCCGGATGAAATGGGTTTCTCAAAAAGCATAGGCTAGGTCACCATCAACTAAAGCTTCCTCGTGTTCCTTTTGCGTGTTCCTCACGAGGGTTTTTGTTGGGCCTGGCCACACACCTGTGCGCCTCAACTCGCCTGAGTAATAAAGCAATGAGTACTCGAACAGTACTGGGCCAGCGCTGTCCAGCAGCTGGGCGGGGACAGTGTCACATTGAAGCATGCGAACACGACCAACGTAACATCAACAAATTTGGCGAACCTTCATGGCCTTTTTGCTTCAAAACTGAATGTTCAATCAAATAATCTACCTCCGTAAAGGCGCATCACAAAATCCATCAAAGAGTCGAAAACATCTGAAAACAAACCCATTGCTTCCAACATCAAAAGGCTTGCTGATTCCAGGTTCGCCCAACCGAGGCCTCAGTTTGCGATAGCTTCCTGGCATGTCGAGTTCGTGCATTTGTGCGGTCAATCTTCTCAGGCATTGATCTTTCCGTGATCGCTGTGGCAGGATTCTTTCTGAAAAACCAAAGTCCACCCCATGGAGGGAAAACAGTCGTTCAGTCATTTGTTCCGTGCAACTCCACCCCTGTCGCGCTCATCACGCAACTCTACCGCAAATTGGTACACCTTTGGCATCTCAACTTCCTTCTCCAGGCGTTCGAGAAACCTGGTTGCAAGCCAAGTGCGCCCTATAGGTAAAAACCGGAAGGGAAGCTACTTAAAATATTGCTGCAAATGCTCATTAGGTGAAGAACGCTTGCAAACAAAAATGTTCGCTGGCCACCTTTTGGTATTGGCGCCGCTCCAGCGCTGCTTCAATTCCTTCGAGGACAAACAAGAAACATGATCGACATTCTCAACTTCTCAAATCGTCCTGTGCAATCCCGATGAACGCCTATGCATGGCTGCATGGTTGTCATGTCGTCAAGTGCTTCTTCAAGTCAAGTCCAAGTTGCCCCTTCATTGTTTCAGTTCGGCATTAACATCCTTGACTCCTATCCGCCCAACTCTCCAAAACATACAGGTGGTGCTTTGGACAGCCTGTTGAGTTGCCATCGCCATGCTACAGCCAAGTTGGGAAAAGTGAAGCTGAAGGAAAGATGGCAGTGTGAACACGATCGCCATCCCACATAACATCACTTGGCCAGTTTTGAAAGTGAAATGACATACATCAAAGAAACTGCTAGGCATTCTAGAAAAATCTAGAAAACAAAAACTAAAGACCTTCTAAGTGAAATAGCTGTGGCCCATCTCTCCGTTTGACGGGGGCAATGTGGATGAGAAGCAAAAACCTGGATCACGGGTAGAAGAACACAAAGGGAAGAGTCCTGGGGAGAACCCACACCCACCCACAACCCAACGTCGCTTCCCGACACAGCAAGTTCAAGAACCCAGGCTCCAGCACAACGGGGCCCGTTCCCCAAGGTATCACAAGCAGTTACAAATGCGCTTGATTGGAAGCAGGTGGCTTGCACCAGTGTGCCCAGAAACAAACTCAGGATTGGCGGCAGCGGGAGGGGGAGAGAGAGCACGCCAGCAGGCGGGCGTGGCCACAGCAGCTCTGCAGCGCAACGGGGCGTGGAGGCTCTTCGTTCGCCCATCGACAACTCCAGCCTAGCCTATCGGCTGGCTTTCGTACTATATTACACATTCTGTTTAAGGAAGGGCACGACAACATCACAAAGACAATGACACTGAACGCTGCTGGAATGAACAGACAGGGTAGACCACTCTATGAGATCGTTGCGATATTGACGGGACAGTTGAATAACTTGGTTAAATGTCTGGTGAACGACACGCCCCCTTCGGCCCACCCACCCAACCACCCACCAACTTGCCACCCCATCCCCTCGAGACTTCAGTCAAAAGAGCATCCTGTTGCAGTTCTATGGAAACGATGAGGACCTTGTGAACATGATGAAAATATTGTGAATACGATGAAAGCAATCTCTGGATGTGACATCAACCACCTCTCCCCGACTTCAAGCAAAAAGCTCTGTCCTGGCCACGGTAGATCTCCATCGTCGGAAGCCTTGACATCCATGCAGTGTGAAACCATCACCAGTTGCTACACCAACAACTGTACTTATGTCTAGGGAACTCTTCCAGCAAGTGCTGGTGCAAACAATAACAGGTTTGCGCAGCTTTGCACTCAGAGTTTGAGGCGAATTCACACTTCTACCTGCCATGTGTGCTGCAACTTCAGGAGCACTGATGAAACTGTGCTGCAACCGTCCCAACTCCGTCAATGGTGTTTTGTTGTGCCAAGTCCCGTTTAAGGAATGCGGGCACATTGCTATGCTGTCTATATGTGCCAATGCAAGTTTCTGAAGTCAAAACTTCTGCAGGCAGACTCTTGACAAGATCATCTGAGCGGTCAAAGTCCACGGATGCAAATTCCACGTTGCCTTGGGCAGCCACTAAACTGCTATACCCACACGCACATGGAACGAACGACGTCAGTTTTGGAACGTGTAGTAGCACTCAGCCCGTTGCGGAATTTCTCCTCACGGGCAATCCTTATCAAAAGCTGCTACAAAATCGCTTCAAGAATGCAAGTTGGAACCACTAATAAAGCAACTTGCAAGCACTGCACTGTACGTGAAGCTGCATGAACTGAAACAAGTTGGAACGGTTCTCAATCTTTGTGCCCAATGTATTCCAATGTGGACTATGGAATGTCTGCAGTTTACACTTAATGAACAATCCAGCCAAGTTTCTTGTGCATGTAGCGCAGCAGCTTCTGACATGCCCTGCAGCAAACGCAAGTGGAGTCAGCCATCATGCTGTCACTTACCGCAACGCTTCGTGGTCACGGGGGTTGCCGGCAAAGCTCGAAAGGGTGCAAGATTCAAAGTAAACTTAGATTATTTGCGACGATAACCGACAACCAGCTCAGTAAAGTAGATGAAGGCGTTCAGAATCCGCGATTGTTTGTTATTGTGTTTTCCTTCTCCTAGCCCAACCTGCACCAAGGTGCCTGAGGCCAACAAGGATTTGTGTAACTTTGAGACAAAAACAAGCCGTTGAATTGAGTGGGACTTTCACTGTGTCAATACCTGAAACTAACAACAAAAACACCTGTTTCGTGCACAGGCACACCGACAAGACAGTGGCACCCCAAACAACAACATGTGCACCAAACATGCTACAAGTCCACTGGGGTGCACACATAGTAGTCCACGACCAATAGCTGGCCAGCCTGCAAATGGCGTTCTGCTGATGCTCATGTATGTGTGTGTGTGCGTGTGTGCGTGTGTCTGTGTGTGTGGTACTCCTCTCTGATAGCCCCCCATGTTCAAAAATTCATTGGTATTGACAATGCATGTGGTTTCTCATTTTTGTGCAAGGAAACTGCCTTGTTCGTTGGTTTTAGGTGTCCTCTTCCTTTGCTGGGGAGCCATTCATGCACCGCAGGTGAAGATGGAATGGAATGCATCAAAACATATTGAGAACAAAAATCCTTAAGAATGTCCTAGCACCAACCCAGAACCAAGAACCAAGATTCCGGATATACATATATATAAGTTCTATGCAATTGTGGTTCTTGGCTCTTGGCTCCATGTAGGTACTAGTACGTTTTAATACCTCTTGTGATGCGTAACCCCACTCAAGATTTGATTATAGGAGGCGCCCACAATCTTAGATCTTAGATCCAGGAGTGTGCGCGTACACATAGGCCTGCACCTTGGATCTCGGATTCGCTGTCCAATGTCCTCCTGAATTTAGGATCCTAAATCCAGGATTGCAATACAATATTAGGATAGGGGCACAACTTCTTAGTCCTAGTGCTACCTCTCTCAGAAGTACACCTGTGTAATACACAAGCACCGCACTCCTCAGGCAAAGTTTGCCCTGCATAACTTCGATTCCAGATCCACTTCTTGAACAATTGGGGGGTGGTGCGAAAAGGACTGGGGATAGACAATGTTATGTAGACTTGAGGCCAGGGGAGGGGGACGAAAGCTAGCGAGGAATGGCTCGGGATGTGATTCTGGTGCTGTTCCTCTCCTGGTCTTGTTGCTGCGCTTGCTATCTCCACGTGTTTTTTGATAGGAGGGTTCTTGTCTCTTGTGGGTCATGATGTCTTCGAGTTGCCATTCCTAGTATTAATTTCGCTTGACTAAAGAGCATTCATTAAAGAGCCAGTGAGAAGACGCGAAGCCGCAGATTTGGGAATGAAACACCGGCAGTTGGCATCGGGAAGCCACGGCAATGTATTGATTGACCCCATCAGAAACTGGCAAGGCAAACAACAGTTTGTTGGATATTTAGGATGCACAGTATCGTCAGAGACACAGTTTTTGTCTATATATATATATACACTTTATGAACACAAACCGTGCTTCGTCCGGCGCGGCAAGCAGACTGAGTAAACCGGAAAACTGGAAAAACTGGATACTCGAACACGGTTCTCGCCGTTTTTCCGTGTTCAAAGCTTACGCTCCACGACCTTAAATGTTCGAAAACTCATTGGTTTCGGCAAACCAGAAAACGTTAATGCAGGCCAAATATGTTTCCGTTTTCACGGTCTTTGCCGTTTCGGTTTTCGCCGCGCCCGGCCACAGTGCCCAGCCACGGCGTGCAGCAACGGACATGTCAAACACCCTTGTATAGTTGTTGTCATGCAGTTGTCCTGAAATTCCTGCGCGAAGGGCAAAGCTCTGATTCGCGAAAAATTGAGAAATTAAAAGACATATGCATAGCTGACAAAAAGGCCAATTCAAGTAACGTTATTTCTATGTTGTCCCACCAGAGGGTGAGAAATAAATCTAGGAAGCTAGGCGACGATTGCAAAAATGTGGCCGCGGAGGGGCAGCAATAGCCTCTTGCAAAAGGATGCTAGGATGACAAATTGAACACCGTATATAATACAAAAAATATGGACACCAAAACAAGAATTGTAGGATCTTGTAGATTGCAGGAACTTCAATACTGTCACAGTACGTTTCACCAGGATGCCCCGTCAACATATACATGCTTGACAAAAATAATCCAACGAGCAGACTGTCTGGGCCTTTCAGGTTTTCGCCCAATTCGTCAAAGGGACGCTAGTAACAAAGGGCATCGCTACTAGGAGCAAGGACGCTACTAAGGGCTCCTGGCCTTACTACTAGTATCAAGGACGCTATTAGTTATTAGGTTTCTTTTCGGACCTACTGAACATTTTCACATTCGAGCCATGACATTTAAGTGCACTCAGCCCAAGGTGTCCAATTACTTACTGTCACCTGGAGCGTAACAAACAGTTTTCTCGAAAACCTGTGGAAGCATGTGGCTTGGCCGGTTTTCTTGAAAACGGTGGAGACTGTAAACACGGTTCAAAATTTCAGTCAGATTTCTGGTTTTCTTGGTTTTTTCGTTTCTTGTGCGCCGGACTGTGGATCCCCATCCTTCATCAACAACGCGTCTAAAGCCTTGTCTGTGACAATCTGTCTTTAATATCCCCCTTTGCCATCACAGTCCCCGACACTCGGTTGCCTCTCCAAAGGCATCGACGGCGTGCTAGCATGTGAACATGTTGCAAGAATAGCAATCTCTGCAGAATCGCGCCCACAGTCTGCCAGTTGGTATATAGAAGATAGTGAAGACAGAATAAGTGCTCAAGTTGTTAAACGGTGATTGATATGCAGTCCAAAGGTGGAAGTCTGCAAGTAACAATCCAGAAAAAGGTTATAGGAAACTTGCGGCTAGGTCTGATCAGGATCGAGGATCGACAAATCAGCTCTTTTACAGGATGCTGGTCTGTGGCCCGAAAGCAGATTGAGCTGTGCAAAGACAGGGTGCAGCTAGAAACGGTTGATTCTGCGAGACATGTTGGCCCTGAAACGCCACGACTTGGACAAGTTCAACGTGTACATGCACAGCTGTTGGTAGCCTTGGACACGCGCTCCAACATCTCGGCCAGGTCTGCCTTACAAGCTTAGATGTCATCACTGGAGCGCAGTACCATATTGATGACTTCCACATACAGTGCTTCCGTCTTGGCAAGGGCAAGCAATGTAACATGTAACATGTGTATACACACACACTGCACACACACAGGTACATATATAATTATACATATATAATATATATATACTGTTTTTAATATATATATATACATATATATATTCCCGAGAGCGCCTGCGAAGGGTTCTTCGTAAAAAAACATCTGCAGAACTACACCTCCTCTACATCTTCACATCTTCACCTCTGCACAATCACGTTCTCACCTATACCTCTGCTCATCTTCACGTCTGCACATCTACATCTCTGCCCATCTTCACATCCTCGCATCTACATCTCAGCTCATCTTCATCTTCACACATTTACATCTCTGCTCATCTTCACATCTGCACATCTACATCTCTGCTCATCTTCACATCCTCGCATCTACATCTCAGCTCATCTTCATCTTCACACATCTATATCTCTGCTCATGTTCACATCTGCACATCTACATCTCTGCTCACCTTCACATCCTCACATCTACATCTCACATCTTCACCTCTCGCTCTTCTTAACTTTCTCTCAAGGCCGGGGGCAGTGCCCCCGGACCGCCACGAAACGCAACCCTCTGCGGAGATCGTGCGTGTCGAGTGCGCGAAATGCAGGCGAGAGTGCGATTTGGTTTTGTCGCGGGCACCCTCTGCGGAGATCGTGCGTGTCGGATGCGCGAAATGCAGGCGAGAGTG